GAAATTATTTCATGGGTGAACCTTTCGTTCAATTCAATTTTATTTTCCGGAAATGAATTTCATTTTATTTCACATTCATTTTTTATTGGATATCCAACTGAATAATAAATTATTTTTTTTAAACAATATCATTTATATCATCGAATTTTATCGAGAGAAAAAATCAACAAATAAACCAACAAGTCAGTACTCAACATTTGTTGCTGTGAGCGGTGCTGGATTTTTAACATGCATACGAGTGAAAATAAAAATTGTGTGAAAATCACCTTTTGATTGAATTTTGAATAAAATTTGTATCAATGGTGTTATTTGACCGTAATGCATCTGAAAACCGCTTAAGAACTCATCAATATGAGCAGCAAGAAATTGTTTTGTTCGGCCCGGAAAACAGTAACAAAGGTAAATTTCAATTTTATAACCAGATTTCAATAGCTTGAACGCATAAACGATTGCATACCAGAAAATCATTAAAAAACCGACAACAACTGCAGCAACATCATTTCATTACGTATTCAAATTCACATTTGCCACTAGCTCATAATGATTTAATTGAAAACAATCTACACAAAATAATAATTACATAAATAACACAGTCATTTTTCATGTACGTGTGTGTGTGTTCTTGTTGAATGCGCTTTGTGCTTTTTTATTGGTATGCTTTTGCATGCGGGAAAGGGGTGAACAAGCGCGATCACGGGTTGCCGCCGCTTTCTTGCCATGTGAACAGTGAAATTTACGCGATTGGAGATAAATATGCTGAAATAAATCATGTTAGTCAATTTGCTGCACTGTTAAAATTTTAAACAGCGAATGCAAAATGTTAATAACCATATTATAAGCAAATGGCACAGTGAGAATGGATAAAACACCGTTGGTCCCCTCAATGCCAATAACCATTTTGTGAATCATAATAATAATGTTAATGTATATGCGCCACGCTCAATCCATGAACTGTTACTCGCTGTTTATTCTTTAATATTCGTCAAACCACCAACCTTCTCTGCCCGAAACATACAAACGCATGCATGCATATGCATACATTTGGCATTTTGTGTGCACTTTTCCGATAAATTAATACGTTTACATGGTATCCCCAAAATGCCGACCATAAATATCACGATTCATGATAACCAGCACCAAATGTTATGTTGAATTTCATTTTCAGGAAATTAGAAAATAAAAATAGCATTCGGAATTTGACTTTATTACATTGTTTCAATTGTAATTGTTGGAATTTTGCAATTGGATCTATCTCTCACAGGCACACAGACGGCATACACAAATGGTAAATCACTATTGCCTAGTTTAATTAAGTGCAAAACCACACAGGAAAAAAAAAATCCCCTACACTCAAAAAGTTTACAAAGTTTTATGCCGGAAAAATCAATATTGGTATTCAACTCATTTTGCTGCGTGGGGTTGCGAACCACACACACACACTCTGGTCTGGCATTTCAATATGGAAATGATTATCGCTTGGTGTAAAAATCGGCAATTGTGCAATCGTGCGCGTACGTTTAATTAAGATAAAATGAAAATTAATTTTAACTTTTTTTTCCATTAATTAATTCGTATATAAAGAAAGCTCTATCACGATTACAGGGTAACAATCAATGGATTTGATGAGAATACAAGGAGCGACAATGAAAATTATGTAAAATACTTTTCACATTTTATTTTTCTTTTAAATTTCGATCGGAAATATAAATACCAAGCAACAACGGCACAGAACCAAAATAATTGATTGAAAAATCTAGCAAATGTTGTGGATGGGCCTGCATGAAACTAATGACTATCATATTGATTTTTCAATGTTCATCACAAAATCGTTTTTTTTTTTTTTAACAAAAGAATTGCGATCAACAAACAACGTTGCCCACATATATGCAATTTTTTGTGTTATTCTTTTTTTTTTACAATAACCATTGGCAATTATTATCATAAGTGATAATTTATTCGTGGACTAATAATCTGATGTAATTAGTCTCGCGATGAAATGAACTGTGCATAACGATTTTATATTTTTCGGGTGTTGTTTCAGTTTTTTTTTTTTAAATTCGCAAACAAAAGGGCGATAACCAAAAAACCAAACAATCGTATGAATGCCATAATCGAAAAACGACAAATATGTTCCATCCATTTAGTTTTGTTGCATCATGCAGTAGTACATTTTTCATTTGACAAATAATTTTAATTGAGCTAATTATTTGTCATTGTTATGCCAAATATGCTATATTACGTATTTACCGAGCAAAAGATGAGTAAAGTGTTTGCGGAAAATGTCTTATTTGTGTATGATTGCCAATGGCACCGAATTTTATCAAGTTGGTTTTGGTCCAGAACATGATGATAGTACTGTCCAACGCAGTGCGCATTACAATTATAATAATTAAGTGACACGATGAAACCTGTATGAACGTCAATTTGTATATCATTAAATTATTAATTATTTCAACGATTAAAAAAAGCATTTCATAAACACGAATGCACTGAACACAAGCACACGAAAAAAAAGCAGGAAAAAAACGAACACCCATACGATATATTGTATAAATAGAGATTTATGGATTAAATATAGCCCAGATGAGGCGTATGCACGCATATACATAAAATGAAAGTCGAACATATTTTCATGTGGTTTTTTCTCGGTGATGGAAACAAAAAAAAAAAACCTTTTTATCCATATTTTAATCCGTCTTCCTGGAATTTTTTTAAATGGACAATTGTATAAAGAATGAGCAATGTGTCACAAAATGACAACAATAATTTGAGCACAAACGAAAAAGGGAAAATTTAACCGTGAAAATAAAAACATTGTTGATCGACACACAAACATAACCCGATAAAGAGGGCACACAATTTCTTTGGCGTGTGTGTTTTTTTTTCACACGCGATACACGTATGAAACTGACCACATATGTATAGTGTATACACACTGTGTGGCCCATAAATGATGGCATGCTATTGCTATGGGTCTGCAGTGCATATACCGCATGTTTTACATAAAATTTGTTTAATTTTGCGTATGCAATTTTCGAAGTCAACCACATTCATCACAACCATAATAATATGTCGCTGTCATGTTGTTCCCTATTTACATTACAAATCTGAACATTTTGCACAAGCTTTCTCTATCACAACACTTCTTTGTTTTTGTCGCGTCCGTGTGTCGATACAAAAACCAATTCGAATGCAAAATATGGACCACATCATTCGAATAAGTGTGTGTTTGCTCGTCTTTTTTTCATTCACTGATTCGGAAAATTTACGATGAAATTATAACATTAACATGCGCTGATGAAATTAAGCGACTATAAAATTATCGAGGGAAACATACACATAAACACACAAACCCAAAGAAACAAAAACAAGACGTCATTGCGCTCAGCACAGAGATGCACACACACTAATGGAAGAATGATAGAGTTTTAAGTTTCTATACTCGGTCATAAAGTTTATTTAACATTAAATTAACATAAAATTACCATTAAACCATGATACGATGGCGATGGCCAGCAAGTGTTTTTGTATTGGTGCTAAAATCAAAAACTCATTCTCACCACTTGCACATTTTTTTTTTCTGCACTTGAATCGTTCAATGGCCAGGATAAATGTTTAGTTTATGACAATATTGACAGTATCTGGCTTTCTAAACGATGTGGCGTTTTTTGTTCACATTTATGCTCAATATTGAGTTAATGTTTCGAAGAAGTATTCCCAAAAAAAAATTGTAATGTGCCTGTTACATCAATAAATGACTTTTATTTAGCGCGTTTCCTGTTTTCTTAGCTGTGTTCGTTTTTTATTTGTAATGCCATCTTTACAAGCAATCATCTAAAGCAATTATTTGAAAAAAAACTCTCACCGGAGCACACGGCATTACGGTTGTACCTTGTCAATTAATACCTCCACGCCAAAGTGAGAACCAATGAAAGAAACAAGAGCTCGGGAGTGAGAACCACTGCAGAAAATAATATCAAGAATGGATATTGCCCATGCATGCAGAGCTGCATAAAAATTGAGACGCATTGTCAATTTCAGACCGATGTCAAAGTTCGAAAAATTGTTTATAAAATGTGCAACTATGTATAGCAATTATCATGAATATTTAGTATGTACATTAACATTTCTCTGCAATGTGCCTTTGAAAACATGGTGAAATAAATTTCAGGAAAAAATTTACAATCAAGCATATTTTTTTATACTATTCGAGCGAGACACGAATAAAGTACTTGAAGGTGACCCTCATTCATGACGGTTCAATTATCATTTCATCACTTCTGTTGATGGTAAATATATTAACATTCATTTATGTTGAAAAGTTTGATTGCGACAAAATTTTGAATAATCAGCCAAAATACCAATAATAATAAAATCGTTAATTACGTTTAAAATATCAGAGAAAAACAATAAACCATTGAAATCTCGTAACGAAAAATAAGTTTTGCAATTTTCGATTGTATTTTTTTTGATCGATGTGGAAATGGTTTTTTCCGTCCAGTAACAAACAAATTGGGCATTCAAAATTAAATTTCATGTCGAAATGAACAAAATAACAGATTTTGATAAAAAAAAATCCGAAATGTGTTGATTATTTTGAAATGTAAAGCAGACATGAAGTAATAAGAAATGTAAATGAATGATGGTATTCACTTGGAATGTAAATGAACTGGAATCAAATAATCACCTTGAGCTGAAACAGATCGCAGAGGAAAAAAGTAGAAAGAATATCATTACAACTTTATTGACCTAAAAAAACTTATTTATTACAGAATTTTATACAAAATTCTACAGTCTTGAATGAATATAGGGAAATTTGAAAAAGGTGTGCAACAGATTACAACAGTATCCACAAAGCAAATAAAATATTTCATACATTACGACTCAAATAAAGGTGTTTTAATGAATGCGTCTTGCAATCAATGTATAAAGATGTACAATCACACGTTGAATAAAAAAAATCAAAAAAATCTCTCATTTAAATTCATTACAACTGTTTTCGAATGAATAAAAACAGAACAATCGATTCGTTTGTAAAATCAGAATTAAACTCTTTTTAACTTGGCCGCTCCAGCTCATACGAACAATGATTCGCTTTATATTGATTTTAACGTCTTTGGCTGCCTTGAATAATGTAAGTGAATTTTTTGAGTTGAAATTTTTAATTAATTTCATCCTCCTTCTATCAATAGGTATTTGGTCAAGATAAAATGGTTGTAGATCAACCAATAAGAGAGAGCGAAGAAGCAAAATGTAACTCGGTCCAATGCGATGACAAAACTGACGACAAATTAAATAAATTGATTCTAGAAGTGGCAGCATCGTGCAATTGTTGTTATGGATGCAAAAGTAAAGTTTATTATGATTTATGCAAACTTTGTGAAGATTATCGGAACTATGATCCAAAAACAAGTGGACTCAATCAATGCATTATAAACAAATTATCAAATCCTTGTTACAAATATTACAAATCATTCCAACAAATTTTGAATAGTGGATGTGGCAATTTATGTCATAAAAGTAATTTCAACATTTATACATTCCTCTATGATGTCTGCTATGGATGTAATGGATGCCTTTGGCGTTGTTATATTCAAAACGGTGATACAATCCACTTTGATCAGCCGTATGCTGCAAAAGCCGGACCCACAATGACTTCAACATTAGCATAGGCGTATATAACCTGGTTTCCGCATCCAGCTTCCAAATCAATATCTCAAATATAAAAAAAATCAATATCTGATCGATAAATGCAAACTTTTACCTCTAATTGTTTATCAAATGAAGGTTCGGTTCATACTCGTAATAAATGGTTATCGTTTTACCACCCGATTTAGATTGAGTCGAGCTCATAAATAAAATTCAACTAGCATTTAATTTTATGATACTAAATACTTTCTGAAATCACAGCAATAATAAAAATTTACATTTTGCAGCATGAAGATTTTTAATTTTTTTCCAATTTTAAATTTCGATTATATTTCGGATGAATTTTTGTTCGAAAACTGATTTCGCTTTTTTCGGGATTTTTTTTAGTTCAATAAACGTAAATTCGACCGAAAATTGACTACTCATATAATAATTGTGTATAGTGTTTATAAATTAGCATTGCATAATGCAATTTTTCTCATTTGCTACTTATATTGTACGGTATTATGTGAAAACAACAGCAAAAACGATCCAACAATAGCAAAAGTATAAAAGCAATAACAACATGAATTGCTAATAGCAATATTAAATCCACTGGCAGATATTCGTGCCTGTGTGTTTGAATGCATACATAACAGCGGCAACTTTGTTGTATATATTGCTCAATGCTTATTCGATCACTGCAAAATATCCGGTTGCGATTGCAATACGTTACACTATCTGTTCGTCGGGCTTGTCAAATGATTTAAAAATTTCAGCTGTGAAAAATGGAATTTCTATGTCCATATTTTAAAACCTGAAATGTGTATTCGGTTATAGGGTTGGCCAAGTGAGTTAAAAAAGAGAGACTAAATATAGAACGAGGTTCAAATTTAAGTTAGTACTCACCGGCTCAACTCGGTTCCGAACAGTTTCTGGCCAGCCTTATTCTGGTGTGACATTACATACAAACCGAGAGAGACCGACTTATTCGTGTAATTTTTTGCACTTCGTAAAATTCCATTTTTTCCCCGTCCATTCGATGTAAAATACATATGGAAGTATTCATGAGGGAAAAAAAATCAACATAGGATATACACAGGAACAGGAAGTGAGTGTATATGAATTAATTCTTATTGAAAAAACACATGTTCACTACATATTGATCCGTTGATTTCTCTCAAAGTGAGCTTTTTGTTTTCACCAGTCATACACGAAAACTATTTTAGCACGAAATCACCTCTTTTGTTCCCATTCGTTCTAATATATGATTGCGTTCATACATGAAAGGCGTAATTTTTTTTATTGTTGTTGAATATTTTGCGACGGCTTTATTTTAAGTTGAAATGCATGCTTCGGAAATTTAAATATATAATGCTTAGCTTAGCTTCTGAAGTGGCGATTCAAGAAGGGTCATTTCAAAATGGTCAAATAGTTTAGGGGGTAATTTAATCGTCGAAAAATGTGTAACATTTCAATAGAGATATGTATAAAATATTCGAAAAATAAATTTACTTAAGAATAAAAAACTTTTTTTGTATTTTCCATGAATTTTTGTTTGAAACCCCCTAGGAAGCCAAACTCATTCGTTTAAAAAGAGATAATTTCACAATTAATTCTCCAGGGGGAGATGGATAATCTGACCACTTGGACCCCTGGTCTCTAGCTACGGTGCTTACCCGCCAAAACATAGAATTTTCTTGTGGTATAGAGTCAGGACGGGAGGGGAAAAAGCAAATATTTTAATGATTTTATTTTATTTTCCATTAATGCTTCCACCGCAATTAATATTATTACTAAGCAAAAGTTTCACACGCTACGTTGAAATTAACCGCACCAATTACAAACGAAACATGAATATATCCTTAAGATCATTTTTAAACGTTATAGAGTTTATAATATAAAACATACAATGTAAAATTATTCAAACTCATGAATTTATTTAAAAAAAATATCAGGATAGTTAACTCTTTCAAAAGAATAAAATTTGAACTATTTGATACAATGTAATGAAACGACAACAACAATAACACGCATTTTTTGTTAACAAAATGTCCATTCTAGATCGCCACGACATTGGTGTTTGTAGTTTGAACACCATCATCTAGTAGGCCGAAATTTGCATGGTAAGATGTATAGAATCGAAAGTACGTACAAAAAGAATGCATAAAACCATCAATGTACATTATAATAGACACTAGAATATTTTCTCAATGTCCATCATAATGTACCCGACTTACTTTCAAACAACCACTATCAGTGTCATGGCAATCTAACTCGTCAGTATGGGTTTCATTATTTTGATTTGATACAAATTGATTGAACTTAAACTCCGATGAAAATTTTCGAAAAAATACGTCAAATTCAATCGAAAATAAATATTCAGTTCGATGTGCAATGTGCATATAACTGGCCAATACAGTGTTGTGGTTGGGGGAAGACACCTATTTCTCCTAATTTTCCATTAATATTCTCTAATATCTTCTAGTTTTTTCTAATACAGTGTACAAATACATTGATGTTTTGCTAATGAAGTTCTGTTTTGCATTGGTGTTATTTTGTTTTTCAGTGGCTTCAAATTTTTATTGAAAAATAAAACAAAAAATGTATAAAAAATGGTTTGTGCACTGTAATAAGTTCAAAAATTTCCTAGTAAATCTAAATTTTAAATTCGTGTTGTGTAGTGTACTCGGCAAAGTGTCAGATTTTATTAAAATCTCAAACATTGCTGAAGACAATTTTCAATTATCTAAACCGTTCTTATAAACATTTAACAAGTCCCAAAATTCAACATTGAGAATTTCCGTTTGATGTTTTACATAAATTCAATCATTTTCAGTCAGGTAGCGAGTACAAAAAAGACTCAACGCTAGACGGTGTGCTCGAAAAGCGATTTTCAAACTTAATACACTCAAAGGTACCATCTCAAGTATATGCATATATATACATATAAAATTTAATATCCGTTTAATATTTGTTTAAATCGAGCATTTATTAGTTATGTTTCGAGCATATGTAAATGTATGCTTGATTTGGCATGTTATGTTGTTATAGTTTCCGTTAAAAAAAAGTTTATTTACCCAGAAAAGTTGTTCGTTCTCGTTGGGGTAAAATTCAATAATCACTTGAAATGAAAAAGTTGTCGGATGAAGGCGACATTTGACATTTGCCAGGTGAACTGAAAATTCATTTCACTATAAAATAATGTCGATATGCATATTGGTTTTTCGCTTGCGTTTACATGCTCCATGCATATTCAGGTGCTTACTACAATTGGGTATTTAATTTTTATTGAACATAAAGAAAATTATGCGATGGCGCATGGCAAATGGCTTTTTCATCTTCACCTCATTTTCTTTTCATTTTCCCTCGCTCGATCCCGTTCTCTCATTCACCTTAACACTGTTTCACATTGTGTGTACCTGTTATTTTCAAGCTTTTCATGAAAAAATCATTAAGCTACTTCATGTGATGTGTTCGAGGGATTCGGCTCGTTTATGCCACCATATCAGAGGCGGATGGCGGAAAGGATGAATTGTTCCCCGAAGAAAATATGTTCACATTCGCATATCCACATGCCCATATTATAGATCCAAAGAGGAAGAGTGTGAGATGGGGGCGCACCGATCTAAATGACCATTATATTATGTGTGTGTGTCTGTGTATGTTGTCGCCAGCAAAATTTCCAAAAACATAATCAAAATCAAAGAGCCATCGTTTCGGTATAAATCTATGATATGTAGGATTTACGGAAATTGTCTCCCTTTGTCTCGTTTTCTCTTTAGCTGTTCGACACACGGGGACCAGGTAATAATAGGATCAAAATATTTCGATGGATTCACTTTGTGAGACCGATTCATTGCACTAAAGCACGGGGCCCGAAAAGCACTCAGCTTTGGGACAATCGTATTTTGTAGAGTAAGCCATTGATTTATAAAATGTGCTACATATAAAGCGCAATCTGTTTATTTCTTATTCTTAATAGCTCAAAACGACGAACCAAAAAAGAAGAAAAAAAAATATTGCATATATGGTCTTTTTCGGTTGGTTCTCTCTCATTTGCAGGATACACACATGTGTGGGTACCGTATATTGAAGAGGAAAATGCTGTGCTCAATTTCCCTTGTCGTCTCATTTCTCGCTTCAATCCAATGGAATGCAATAACTTTGTTCGTTTTACGCAAAACACGCACACACACACCATCACAAAAGTTGATTTAACATCAACCTTATCCACTTGGCCTTATTACGCGCTAGTGATGGCCCCTTTTGTTCCCGGGTTATTTCATCTAAGAGCTGTTGAAACGTTGCACAAAAACCCAAACGAAAAGCGAAACAATAAACACAAACTGGTGTGTGAGCGCACCCGCGCATCTTTTTTTTTATGTTTGTATAGTAAATGTTATCACAATATTGTCGCGGTGAATAGTGAAATGACCTGTTTTCCTCTTCAGAAAATTAAGAAAGAAAAGGTTTCTCAATTTATTATGAATGATATCTTATATGATTCTTTTTTTTCTACACATACACAACTTCCTTTGTATCAGATAAATGGCAGCAAAGCACATAATAACATTTTGACAACATCCCTACTCAACGAATTTATTATGAAATCCTTACTTCTTTTTCTACTACTACAACTGCGGCCCACATTCACTTCAGTCAACCGAATTAAAAATAAATACAACCAGCAAAATGATGGTAGAAAGTCATAAAACCGAAGAAATAAGAAGAAAAATCGTCGTCGACAATTGCAATAGAAAAGACACAAAATAACTAAAAAAAAAAACACCCGAGAAGATGTGTTGTCGATTCAAAGTCAGCGGAAATATTCTATTGATAATCACAATGTTGATATACTGATAAAAATGAAAGAAAGAAAGTAACACTCATGACCATCTCAATGCTGTGCCAGCGGCACGTCTATAAAAATTGGCTGCGAACTAACAACTAATTCGAAATTGCACCGTTTGAACATATTTGAACACACATCACGTCGGATCACGTCATTGAGATCACGTTCAAATGAGTACCACGAAGTATCCGTTTTTGTTTGTATTTTTCTTATTGCATGAAAAATTTAGAAAGCCATTCGTGCCATTTTTTACATCATGCCATTTTCAGAACATTTAATAAAAAGGCTTAAATCACTACGGTACCGTATATACGCAAAATCTGTTGACTGTGAATTATAGAAGTTTGTGTTAACTGTTGTGGCGACAATACTGACATATACGTGTTCATACTGTCCACAAAAATATCGAGCTACAACAGCATTACATTTTTCGAATGGGTAAAATGTCATAACGGCGCC